TATAAAGGACACAAATGTCCACAGGGAAACTGTCTCTGGAGGTCACCTGTTGTGATTTCATGATTTCTACTACAGTTGACAGCGGCTTGACCTTCATGACCTTGGGGTTGCCTTTGGGGCAGGTACGGTGGTAGAAGAGGGGAGCAGTGACTTTCCTTGCATTTCGTCAAAAAGGGAGATGATTATTTAACTACGTAAGTGACAGCTGTAACAAAGCAAATTTAACGCCTCAGCCCTTCTATGTGAGCCCTTGAATCCTTTATGGTTCAGTGACTTAATTGTAAGACTGGAGATTTTGGGGAACCCCCTCTCCCATGCCCTCAGGTAGTGCAGGGACCTTGACTCCCTGATAATCACTTGCCAGTGTTGGGGTGCTCCTGAGACAGTGAAGTTTTCCCCAATTGCCCACTTCATGCTAAACTGTTAATCTGCATATGGTAGGAACTTATTAAATATCTGTGGGGAGGGTAGTTGATATTACACAAGATATTCTCCCCACCTCTCTTTGCGATCTTTAAAAAAAGCACAAAGAACAAATCTATCCTCCTTTCTGCCCAAGAATTCTTGAGTGTTCAGAACATTTAAAAAACTTGTTTTTTTTTTTTTCCCCTGTGTATACTCTACTCCACGCAGCCTGTGGGGCTTTGCCCAAACTTTTTGCATGATAGAGCATCTCACAGGCACGGCAGGGTAAGACTGCACTGTGCTTATTTTACTCTATTTTCTCCTTTTCCAGTGATCTTTTCTAAAGTGGCTACCATTTCCGGGAGTCTTGTGTTGTGTGTTGTTACCATCGCTGGGTCAGGCACTGCCTGTTGTATCCCGTGATGGTTCTGATGAGTCCGTAAGTACAGTCAACACTAGCCTTTTCTCCTTTTGAGCTGCTCACAGCAAACTTACATGGGGGCTCCAGTCAGCTAAAACCACAATCCGCTGCCCCGAATCCTCCACGTTTGAGAAGAATGCATTTTAGCTCAGGTGTAGACAATATGGAGTTGGAGAGGGTAAAGTCAGAGGGATGGTTGGCATACTGCCAGATAGGCCTTCAGGTTCCCATCTTCCTCTGGGTAAAGACTGAAATAGAGAAGGGTTAAGTCCCAGGACCAGTAAGGCCAGGCCCAGAATCTCACTCTGTATCCCAGGCTGGCCCGACACTTGCTATGTTATGTTAATCAGGCTGACCTCAAACTTACCACCCATCCCCATTTCTCTGTCTCTTAACTCCCAGAGCACAGGCATGGGCCATGTTTAAAGATTCGTTAGAACTCAGCCACCCCCATCTCACCTCTTAAGCCAGACAAAGGATATTCTTATGAAATGTTTCCATCCAAAGTTAAGATTGTGGAAGCTGGCGCTTTTAAAAATGTGTCTGAAAAGATGACGTTTCCTAAGCCCCAAGTGGCCTGGACATTTCAGACACTAAACGGTCAGAGTTGTATGACCACTACCTCTCAAACAAACCGTTTTGGCAGTGCAAGTAAGTCCCACTGAGGAAAGTTGATCTGGGCATGGGAGTCATGCATTCCTCGGGACACTCTTGTGACAAAGGACTGAGGTATGTGTGTGAGAGAGAAACAAATGTGGAAAAGAACAGTTTCGCGCCCCCAAGTTGTTTGAGTCCAGCCCGCCTTCCTTCCGCTGGAGTCCCTAACACAATGTTCCATTAGTAGGAGAGTCAAGATTCTCACGAATTTACGGCTGGCAAGGCCTGAAACTCCTCCTCTTCGCGCACCCGGCCCAGCCCTCGCTCTTACTTCCCTTCTCCCTTTCCACTTGCCCCATGCGGACCCAGCCCTAGCTGGCTCAGGGTTTGCGCCCAACGCAAGCCACTTCTCCCTGGCCATCGCTTACTCTGTCCCGGTGAGGGCAAGAAGTGGGAGGAGCTGCATCGGGCTGTCACAGACAGGGACCTCGGCAGAGGCTTAGGGTGAGCCAGCAGCCCAACTCAGGGAGGACCACACCCTCCTTCCGTTGCTGTAGAAACGGCTTAGGCCCTTTTTGTGACTCTGAGCTGAATAGGCTTACCCCAGTCAAGGCCAAAACTATCCACAGAAGCCAAAAAAAATACATCTCCCCCCACTTCCTCATTTTCTCTCTTCCCAATTCACGGATCAGTCAAAATATGAATGAAATTCCAGGACTCTGAGATTAAAGTTGGACAGACCAGTCTGGAAAATTTCCAAGCCCCTTCAAAAACAGTATGTAGTAGATAAAAGACTGGGATAGAATTTCCTCATGAGATGTACCAAGTTTCAGAAAGCATCTTTTGAAATTGTAATTGACAGTGGCTTGTCCCCAAGGGCTCTGACACAAGGAGACTCACTGAAAAAGAAGCAGAGTTGAGTTTTGAGAGCTCAGGTCCTTAGCCTTTTGTTTTGTTTTGATTGAGCTATATATTTCCCTCTGTTCACCTCTCCCCTCCCCTTCTACCCTCTCATGACTCTCATGCTCCCAATTTACTCAGGAGATCTTGTCTTTTTCTATTTCCCATGCAGATTATCTATGTATGTCTCTCTTAGGGTCCTCATTGTTGTCTAGGTTCTCTGGGATTGTGAATTGTAGGCTGATTTTCTTTGCTTTATATCTAAAAGTCACTTGTGAGTGAGTATATGGTGTATTTGTCTTTCTGGGTCTGGGTTACCTTACTCAATATGATTTTTTCTAGATCCATCCATTTGCCCACAAATTTCAAGATGTCATTATTTTTTTCTGCTGTGTAGTACTCCATTGTGTAAATGTACCACATTTTCCTTATCAGTCGAGGGGCTTTAGGTCGTTTCCAGGTTCTGGCTATGATAAACAGTGCTACTATGAATATAGTTGAGCACATGTCTTTGATTGAGCATCCTTTTGTATATACCCAAAAGTGGTATTACCTGGTCTTGAGAAAGGCTGTTTCTTAAATTACTGAGAAATCACCCTACTGATATCCAAAGGGGATGTACCAGCTTGCACTTTCACCAGCAACGGAGGAGTGTTCCCTTTATCCCACCTCGCCAGCATAAGTTGTCATCAGTGTTTTTGATTTTGGCCATTCTTATAGGTGTAAGATGGATTCTCAGAGTTGTTTTGCTTTGCATTTCTCTGTTGGCTAAGTGTGTTAAGCATCTCCTTAAGTGTCTTTCAGCTATTTTAGATTCCTCTGTTGAGAGTTTTTGTTTAGGTCTGTACCCCATTTTTTATTAGATTATTTGTTCTTTTGATGACCAATATCTTTAGTTCTTTGTATATTTTGGAGATCAGACCTCTGTCTGATGTGGGGTTGGTGAAGATCTTTTCCCATTCTGTAGGCTGTCATTTTGTCTTGTTGATCATGTTCTTTGCTTTACAGAAGCTTCTCAGTTTCAGGAGGTCCCATTTATTGTTTCTCTCAGTGTCTGTGCTACTGGGGTTACATTTAGGAAGCGGTCAAGGATTTGCTGAAGGAGGCAGAGGCAGGAGGATCACAGGTCCTTAGCCTTTCAACAAGCGAGTACCTGCAGGAGCTTGTGGAGGACAAGAGACTGCAGTGTGTTTGTGTAGACTGTAAGCAGGGGGCTGTTCATGCATGGACTTACTTTTTTTTTTTTCTTTTCTTTTTTTTTTTTTTTTTGGAGATAGTTTCACTATGTAGCCCTGGTTGGCCCTGAACTCACTACTAGACCAGGCTAACCTTGAGCTGGAAGAGCCTCTGCTTTCCTGGTCTTCACCCATATTTTCTTCCCCTAGAGGATATACATATTTGCTATCACAGAAGCTAGGATCTTCATGAGGAAACATGCTATTTGAGCTTCCTTATTTAAAGTAGCCCTCCATTGCCATCCATTTTCCTGCAAATTTCACTATTTCATTCTTTGTTAGCCCTGAGTAAAATTCCAATGTCTGTATGCCGCTATGCTGTATATCCCTATGCTGAGTTTATTTCCTTGCTATTGTGAATAGAATACAATGAACATAGCTTTCTGTTAGTGTTGGCACCACCATCAGCATAGGTGCCCATCACATCCAGTCACCAAACTATGCCACCAACCAGGTTTCCCAAAGCTGTTCTTCCATCTGCCCTATTCTTCCTCTGCCCATCATGTCTACTGGCCTGTTCCCTGGCCTCTGCTCTTCACTCCCTTGCTAATCATACTGTTACCGACACAGCCTTCCCAAAATAAACCCAGCATGCACAGCAGGGTGTGGTGCACACCTTTAGTCCCAGCATTAGGGAGGAATATAAAGTGGGCTAAGACAGGAACTCATTCATTCTGAAGATTTCAAAGTAAAGCTCTGTAGTGGCTAGGCTGCTTTTGCTTTTCAGATCTTCAGGTTGAACCCCAATATCTGTCTCTGAGTTTTTATTATTTGTGCTACAGCAGTCAGAGAACAGGGAGATAAGTGGGGAGGACCAAATGAAATGAAATGTGAATGAAACCCGTACCTGGAAACCCATTACTCTGTAAGCGTATTTCAAAAGTAAAAGAAAATTTAATGAGAGAAAAAGAAAGAGGGCAAGCTGGCTGGCTACTGGACCTATGACCGCTTTGGGGCCTGTCCAACAGGAGTCATCAAAGACCATTAGAAAATAGGTATTTACATTATGATTCATAACAGTAGCAAAGAAAATAATTTTATGGATGGGATTCTCCACAAGGAACTGTATTAAAGGGTCACAGCATGAGAAAGGTTGAGGACCACTGCTCTAGAGACTGACTTAAATCAGCTATCAGTGGACTAGGCAATAGGTTGTATGACAAACAAGATGTAGTCTAAAGCACAGACATGATGCCGTGGAAGTGGGGGTAGTAACACATGACCAGAAAACTGTAGTGGGCAGGGAGGTGCCACATGAGCCAAAGGAGAAAAATGTTTGGGGGTAGCCTGGGCTACACAGGAAGCCCTGTCTCAAAACCTAGAACCCAAATCATACAGAAAACTAACTCAAGACTGGGGATTTAAGAGGGATAGGGGAGCAGGTAACGTGGTGAATGATAGTGTACGTACGTATAAGATGTAAGAGGAAAATATACAAAAGCAATAGGCAAACGCTCACTTTAATCACAATTCAAAACCGCTTCTGCTCATGGCAACGCAGATGTCTCATAGCTGAGAACTAGGTAAGGCATTTAACATTCTATGGTAAACATTACATATTTTACTAAAAAGCAATCAGGAACAAGTTGTTATTCTCACCATTAAAACAATTACTTCTATCGACAATGAATCTCAGCTTCCTGAAAAGCTGCATTAGCTAATACAGGGGTGACAAATTGACAGCCAGTCTTCCGAGCTCTGGCTAATCTGCAGTGATGAAGACACTGCATCCCCTGGCTTACACTGACCATGGAATACTCATTTTACCAAAACATAGACAGATGGATACATAGTATCAAAGAACACACTTTTAACATTTTCACTTTTATTTAAATTTTGACAATGAAAAGTTCATAAAGTATTTTTAAATTCTATCTGCTGTAGATAACCATCTGTTCCCATATAGGAGACATATGCTACAGTATAGTCATCATTTTAATATGTACACAAGAGGAATTCTTACAAAGGAAGACCTGGATAAACAGCAAGCTAGTAACAACTTAAAGAAACATGGAGGTAAGAAAAATTTCAGAAATCCCTCCTGAAGGAGCCCAGATGCCCACTTGCCAGACACTCTGAACAGTTCAGTTAGGGCGCTGTACACCAGACAGAGCTGGGAGACATACCATGTAACTACAGATGTGCCAGGAGTGGCTTGAGGAGAGCCCCAAGAACCCTTTGCTAAAAGACAGAAAAGCTTTGGGACCAGAATCACAAAACAGGGCATTGTTCCCGGTGCTTGCTGCAGCCGCCTTCACCACCCGCTTGCCCTCCTCCTCCTCCTCCTCCTCCTCCACCACCACCACCACCACCACCACAGTGGATTCCGGCAGCTTTCTTGCCAGAGTCCTCAAACTCGATTCCTCCCGCCCTAGCTGCAGCAGATCACCGGTGTGCCCAACCATGTCAGACACGGCCATGGACACCAGATCCGAGATCACCACCAAGGACTTGAAGGAGAAGAAGGAAGTTGTGGAGGAGGCAGAGAATGGAAGAGATACACCTGCTGATGGTAATGTTAATGAGGAAAATGGGGAGCAGGAGGCTGACAATGAGGTAGATGAAGAAGAGGAAGAAGGTGGGGAGGAAGAGGAGGAGGAGAAAGAAGGTGATGGTGTGGAAAAGGATGGAGATGAAGATGAGGAAGCTGAGGATCCTATGGGCAAGCGGGTAGCTGAAGATGAGGATGATGATGATGTTGACACCAAGAAGCAGAAGACTGACGAGGATGGCTGGACAAAGGAAAAGCTAAACTAAGGCCACCGCGACCTATTCACCCTCCACTTCCTGTCTCAGAATTTAAACATGGTCACCTTCCAGTAGAGGAGCAGGCCCTGCCTGCCCACAGCGGGCAGTGCCACCCACAGATGACATGTGCTCTTCATCAATCCACCAAAACCACAACATGAATTTGCAACAGGGGAGGAAAAAAACCAAAACTTCCAAGGCCTTGCTTTTTTTCTTAAAAATACTTTAAAAGGAAAAAAAAAAGAATCACAAAACAGGCTCTTCCATGTGCAAGTTGAATATACAACAACCGGCTTGCAGGACTGAGGGTCCCACGGGTTCTTTCCTGCTACCGCACTTGGCTACTTGTGGCATTTGGGTGCAAACACTTAACTGGTGCTAGTCTGGAGAGGCCCAAGCGGAGGCTCTGACTTGGGGACTTGGTGGGTGCTCCTGCCAGCGGGCTGCTGATGGAGTTTCTGCTTCCAGAGGCGGCTGCAAGAAAACAGAGGCAAACAAGCGGTTAAGTATTGTTCTGCTCTACAGAGCCCGTCAGGTACAGCAGCACATCAAAGAATGACCCACACTGGAGCTCAGGAAGAGCACAGGACAGGCTAAACATCATAATCAGAAACCCCAACTCTAAAACCTTCAAAGTCTTCAACTTTTCTGGCTGTGCAGCAAAACAAACATATAAAGACAAAGACAAGTTTGCCAAGGCATTTATATTTGATACATGTTACAATGCTCAAATGCCCCAGGCTTGAGGACTCAGTGAAACTGTGGAGGCCAGCAGATCTTGAGGCAAAACTTTGTTGCCAGGAAAAAAAAAAAACTTCACTAATGCTCTTTGACTCTCATAGTCAGGGATGTATCTGCAGACTTCTGAAATAAGAATGTCTGTTTACTGCAGTTTTATTTATACTAAGGAAAACAAATCATAGTCAGCCTTGATGCCTAATAGTAAGACGATAAAACACTAAACCACTGGTTCAGAGAACATGAAATAACATGGGACCTGCTCACATACAACTCCTATGATTAGGAAAGAGTTGCCAATGGCAGCTTTCTAAGCTGGTGCCCTCAATAAGTTACCATACCTGGTGGGACCCACTTGGGTCTCTTGCCTTCAGCTGAAGGGCTGCACATCTTTGCTGGTTTCCTAATGGCCTCTGAAGAAAGTCCAACTGCCTCGGGTAAGGATGGAGATCGTGACTTGATGGCAGCTGGAGCCACACCTACTTAAGTCATTGAAAAACGTAAAAAAATTGTCATATAGGAAGATAATATTAATGTCTAATATATGTGTATAAAAATCTCATACTTTCCAAAAAATTCAAAAGGCACAGATTACAATAAAAAAAATCATCTACTATCAAGGTGAGGCAGTACCTGCCTGAAATCCCAGTACTCCAGAGGCTGAGGCAGGAGGCAACATGGGTTACAAAGTGAGATGGTCTCAAAAGCCCAAACACCACTTACGACAAGTCTAAGGACCATGGTTTTGGATTAGCATTTCTGTGCCAGTGTGCCAGACATGAACTTTCACCCTTTATGACAACGCCCACCTCAGGATTACTAACCCCCTACCAGATAAGCCAACAGAGCAGTTAAGCAGTTGGACAGCTATTGTTGGAGCCCATACAGAAATCAGGTTTGACTTCTAAGGTCATACTTATAACCATTTTCAAATATTGATTCTTCTGTATGTGTTGGAAACAGTGTTGAAGACCCTAGGGTTACAAAGAACACACTACATGGCCAGTTTTTTTCTGAAGAAACTTATTATCCTGCACCACACATCAGTGGGAGGAAGCAAAGTGAAGAGCTGTGTCTACTGCGCTGTGCTGAGATTCCAGGAATGCTCAGTAGGAAGGGACCTTGGAATCTCGTGTGTGTTTAGGTGTAGAGGAGATGATCGCAGGCGGAATCATGACTGAGGGGAAGATGAGTGAAGGGACACTTTTTCAGCAGAGAGGAGAGCACACAACACCAGAGCACAGGCTCCTGCACTGGTTTAATGTGGGTAGGGCAGGAGTCACGTGTGGAGAGGCAAGGAGTACAATCAGGGTGTGGTCATATACCTGTGGAGGCCGAAAAATGCAGGCCCATTTCCAAACCTTGTCTGTAGGTCAGAGAGTTTGGAGACTGACAAACATAGTTGCATATCCCAACTCAGGATGTGATTGCTTGGTTCTTTTGAAATTAAGATACATCCATGCCATCCTGACAGGTGGTCAGGAGCATTCTCCTCCTTCTTTTGAAACTATGAGGCCACTTGGGGACGGACCTAGAGCAGCTTTGCTACCTAGACTACAGAATGCTAATGATCTGGTGTCTTAGAATGATAAAGCAACTGACTGTGTGAGTTATCCTTTGTATCATCTCAATAAAGTCTTTTGTTACTCCCCCTCCCCAGTTTACATTGGGTATAAAAAAAGCTGTGGAAAAATAAACAAGGGTGAATTTCAGTCCCTGGAATGCCCTCGCGATACTTTCTATGTTTTCTTTCTTATTATTTTTATGTGTCTTCATATTCTTTACTTATATGTCTTCAATTCCTGCACCCCTACCCGGGTAAGAAGTATTTTTGTTGAGGCTGGTCCTTAATAGTACCCACAGCCATGTAAAAGGAATCTGGCTGTTCACAGTATTAAATTTTCTCAGAAGTGACTTCCAAATTAAAAACTCCTTACTGGGTCATGATGATAAGACACTTGCCAGAAGACTAAGGTAGGAGGATTGAGAAAGTAAGGCAAAAAACTGGTATGAATAAGTAAAACTAATTTTATTAATAAAAGTTGCATTTTGTAATAATTTATTATATAGTACAGGTTTGAAAAAACAGTCTAACTTTTGAACATAATGAACAGGTGTTCCAGCCAGGCAGTGGTGGTGTATGCCTTTAATCCCAGTACCTGGGAGGTAGCAGGCAGATCTTTGTGAGTTCGAGGCCAGCCTGGTCTACAAGAGCAAGTTCCAGGACAGGCTCCAATGCTACAGAAAAACCCTGTCTTGAAAAACAAACAAACAAACAAACAAACAAACAAGTGTTCCATGTCCAAGCTGTCACAAATTCTCACTGTAAAGATGACACTAAGATATTACAAATGAGTCCTCAAAACAGAGATCATATCATGCAGAAAAGGAAAGACTTAAGCTCATGCAGGCCTCACTGTTTAAACACCCCACAGCATGACCCAGCCTCTGAACGAACAAACCTGGGATTGAGCTCCTGGCCCTCACTGAGATGTCCTGAATGTCAGTGTTCTGAGGGTAGATGTGGGTGCAGGGTGTTGGCAGGGATGGCTGTGTGCTAACAGCGGAGGACCCACACTCATCGCTCATGTGGCCACTAGAGCTCAGCCTTCTCAGCTTTTCTCCCCACCCACAATTCCTTTTAACTAGAGACAAGCATTAACAAAATGTTGCAAGGGACAAAGGTGAAGATCTGGAAACACAACGAATAGGACTCAACAAAATGATGAGTTTGGGAGCAGGCTTACCTGAGGCCTCCTTATTTTGTTTTGACTTCTTTTCTTTCTCTACCGCGGGTTTTCTCTGCACTGTTTTCTTCTTTTCTCTAGCTTTACCCTTCCTCACTGCAAAGTCCTCATCACTTCCTTCACTCTCCTCAAAATTAGAATCATTTTCTGAATCTTCACCTAAAACAGACAATTACATATTCTGTCTTTGTCCTAAAAACGGGGACTTCTGTTGCTTCATCTGCAATGGCCTCACCGTCACTCGACATACAAGTATGCTCTTGTCTCTGAAAAAAATACACATCCCACCTCATTCCCATCAGCCTTTTATAAAGCCCACTTCCTTCTCCTTCATAGTGCTTTATTTTCTACAGTTCCAGGCCTCAAACCCCTCAGTTTGCATACCATTGCTCTAAAAACATTAGCTGTGTGTTTACCGCCCATAACCCCTCACTAGACCACTCATTAGAATTTGAACAGTTTTGCTCCTAGCACCTAGGTTACAGCAAACATCATGAGCACCAATCATTTGTTCAGTGAGTGTTGATGAACAGGTCTGTTATTTGTTGACAGAAGATTAAAATCTAAAATACTGTATCTGATTGGTATTAACGTACAGGCTAATTCTTTTAAATTTTTAACACATTACAATGTTGTCAAAGTCACCATATTTTCCCTTTGCCCTAATTTCTACTAAGTCTGAAAATAACTGATAATAAAACCACTTTCAACTCAAAATACTTCCTAAGTTTCAATTAATTATAGAAAAGCTGAAACCTGTTAGAACCACCTAAGAGTTGCTCCACAGCTAGTGGCAGCCCAAGCTGCCTCTTCAGCCTCTTCCCCAAGATTCCACTGACAGTGCTTGTCTGTCCTACTGTTTACACCTTTCCCTCAGTCAGAAGTGTGACTTCATCCATGGGTTTTTCTAATGTTGCTTGTTTGTCCAGACATGGTTTAAAGGTTACCCCTAGACAGTTTCTCCCTCTGTGGCCGGGCTCAATTTAACTGTTCTATATGAGTTTACAGACTTTAAAGGCTCAACACAGTGCTTTGCATACATCCTGCTCTCCAAGTTTTTACTGAATTCCCATCGAATTTACTTGAAGCAGGCATAACTTACCTGTTGCACTGTCGGACCCAGTGTCATCAGCACTGCTGCTTTCCAAAGGCACCCTCCTCCTCCGCTGAGCCTCAGCTTTAGATGTTTTCCTTTCCCTTTCAACACTGCCAGCGTCCCCCTCCTCCATGATTTTGTCCAAATCTTCTGGAGACAGGACATCAGTGAGAACTCTGGGCAGACTACGGTCTCTGTTGCCCTTCTCTGCTCCCAATACGACACTACACAGGCCATACTGGGGTGAAGACCATCAGTCTCTCAGTGATAAACTGGTTATTCTTTTCTTTCTTTTTTGTTTTTTTGAGACAGGATTTCTCTGTGTAACTTTGGAGCCTGTCCTGGCATTCGCTCTGTAGACTAAGCTGACCTCGAACTCACAGAGATCTACCTGCTTCTGCCTCTCAAGTGCTGGGATTAAAGGTTTGTGTTACCACTGCCTGGCTTAGACTAAGGTTTTAAAAGGTTTATTCTGAGACCTTAAAGGTCATTGCCAAAGGACTATGCAGATGGTACTAGAGAGACACAGCCCTTGAGTGGTCACTCACTGTAGGATGGAGGGCCTGAGCAGTCATGACTGTCCAGCAGGGAAGAAGGTAGGTCTGCAGTTGTAGGCCCCTGTCTTCCCTTGCTCCCTGGGATGTAAATCAAGGACTGTTTTGGCTAACCAGCTAAGCTTTCTGTTAAATTTTGTGCTCTGCTCTACTAGGCCTGGTGAATTAGCTGCAGGGCCTTGTATTACTTTGGAATGATAATTTCCCAACCTGCCCAGGAGAGCTCACGGTGCCAAGGTTCCTCTCACCTGTCTGCCACTGCCCGGCACCTCTCGCCCACCTGCCTGCGGAAAAGTTCTCACACGGCGCCAATTCCCCCACCCCTCTCTGGCTGGGAGGGATTTCCATTACTGGGGAAAAAGGTATATTAACTCTGGATAAAGCTAAATAAATTGACATTCACCTCTTGGCGAATGACCCGGACTCTCTGGGTGTGTGTCTCTGTTTAACCCCTAGGCCCTTGCCCAAGCTCGTGGGAGGGTGATGATGCAGACCTCAGGTGATTCAACAAATGGCGTCCCTGGGTGGGCCATTGAAAGCGACTGCAACCAAAGAACACTCGTCTGCAAAACCCATCTGTGAGTTTTGAGGGGTAAGGATCTCCGTGGGGGTCACCCTCAGGAGGCTGGCCAGCAGTAAGTGAATTGCAGAGGGTGGATTGGCCAGGATTGGCTCATTTGGGTGCGGGAACTTCTGCTCCAAGGTAAAGGCCTGGTAAACAGGTATTGTTAGGTCTTTGGGAGAGAAGGGGCACCGGTATTAAGTTTGAGACAACACAAGAGTTCCTTAAGACAGTTTTCTTTTATGTAGGGTAGTTAATTGCCTAATTTTTTTGAGAGAATTTAGTCCCTGGCTTTTACTTGCAGGGGGCTTTAATTTTTACTAGAGAACAGGCTGGCTCAGCTAGCGCCTGGCGGGAGTCCGTTTCCAAGGTGACAGTGCCCGGGACAGCTGGCGGCTAACGAATGGCTGACGGCTCATAGGAATGTGGGCCTTGGGCTGTCCTCTCCATTCCTTGAGGAGATTCAAAAAGCAGTAGCTATAAGTTCTATTAAGAGCTTTTAAAAAAACAGGAAAGCAGCTTCATAGAGCCTGTCTTTCGTAAAAAATAAAAAAGCTCCCATACATGTTTGGGGGGTGGGTCACGGAAACGGCGGCCACGGGGACCGCCCACGGGCGCGCACCATGGCCAAGGTGCGCATAGAGCCAAAGAGAGAGAGATACAGAGTGACTAAGAGAGACTGGCCACACGGGCCGGGCCAGAGGGCACTTGCATGCTAAGACAGGACGCGGTCCGCCTGGTGAGCTCCGATGGCGTTTGGGCAGGGGCAGCCATGGCAGTGGTCGGCAGCAGCGCGGACACGGCGGGCGCAATGGGCCCGACAGGTGGCGGGGCACTGACGGTCATAGGCACAGTGGCTGCGGGCCAGGCGCAGGGGCGGCTAAAAAGGCCGCAGGATTGAGCGTGCTGGGTGAGCCGGCACTCCCTGGCCCCTAAAAAAATCTAAGACTGGGGCCCTCTGTGGCCCTAACCGGGCCCTCCCCAAATGGGGAGATGAGTTCCCCAAAACAAAACACCAACAAAACCAGGCGGGCTGCCGGGTGGCGCGAGGAGGAACACGGGCAGCCGAGGGAGCTTGGAAGGCGGATGCAATAGCCCGGTGGTGATGGGGGCGGCTGCTAAAGCTTAAGAAATTTTTGGCTGACAAGGGGGCTGGAGAGATGGCTCAATGGTTCAGAGCATTGCCTGCTCTTCCAGAGGTCCTGAGTTCAATTCCCAGCAACCACATGGTGGCTCATAACCATCTGTTTTAAGATCTGGTGCTTTCTCTTTTTAAAAAAGGTTGTTCGCACATTTTCTGCTCCAGACAAAGGAGCAGAAAAACGGTTAGCCTATAAAAATGTTAACAGATTTTTGTTCGGGAGGTTTTGGGTCCCGTATAAAAATGACAACTTCAATAATTTTATCCGGTTATATGATGACACTTATGTGCTAGATTCTAAAGAGACTCAGATAATTACTTCTGCCCCTAAAAAAGTTCCGGGCAGAGCTAGATCTAAAAGTTGTTTTCATTATGACAGGCCAGGCCAAGCCACAGATCCGCACAGAGCAGAGCCCATGAGCAGCCTGGAGCCAGGCGGCGGCACAGGGAGGGACCCAAGCGCACACTTGGCCCCGGCGGCCGCTATGGTGGACAGTGGCCCCGCAGGGGACGATAATGGCACTTGCCTCCCGTCCCAGCTCCTTGGAGGCAAAGACCCACAGATCTCTATGAGTTCAAGGCCAGCCTGGTTACAGTTTAGTTCCTAAAACAACTAGAGTACATGGTTCCACTCCCAAAGACCGGTGAGGGGAGCCGGTTATGGTGACACACGCTGGCAGGATTTGCCGAAGGAAACAGATAACACCTGGTATGGTCCAGGCCCTGTACTATAGATGGTCCAGACCATATACTAATCTTGGGGCAGGGGAGTTTTGTCTGTTTTTCCACAGAATGCAGACCATCCCATTTGGATACTGGAGCGGCTGGTTCGTACTATGGATTCTTCTGTCCAGAAGCCTAAAGATGGGACAAAACCAAGAGATCCAGACATAGTCGACCCGCCAGACTAAAGAGCTGCTGGATTCCTAAAGCTGACAGCCACGGGCCCTTCCCTCTTCTGGCTCCCTCCCCATGATCTGTCAGTCATTGCTGCGGCCGGCCGCCAGAAGCGGCTTGCTACCAGTTTTTTCCCTTATCCTGTCAGCTGCTTCTGCTGGGCGCTGTGGGTACCTTCTCAGGGCAGGTTGTAAATACCATGATCGTTCAAATTAAGCTAAATTTACAATTAAATACTACAGTTAATCTTTACAGATTGATTATGGTTTTTGACCTCTACTTGGTCAGGATAACTTTTGCTGTTCTTCTTGGACCCTGGAATACAAGATTTACTAATTGGCTATTAATTATTATTCTAGTTAACTATTCCAGGGGCTCTTTTCACCAATGCTAAAGTCCTTACTTAAAAGGCTCCTTTTTGAGCAGACTTTTTAAGGATTGTGCAGACACAGTCTCCTTTAAAAATGCTTATATACGCACTGGAGCATCATCTTCATAATCTCATGATGCCAGAGCCAAAGACTAACTCAGGTCAATGTTGCCACATGACAAGTCCTTTTAGCATTTGCCTCAAAATGTTTTTCAACATAAATCTGGCTAAACTTGATGATAAATGACAATTTATCATAAGTCAATGACGGATAAGATTTTGGGGGGCGGCCTCAACCTAAGACAGAAAGTATGTTTTAACCTGGATACTTTCCCATGACGGATAAGGGGTTTTCGCCTAACGTCCATTGCCGCCCAAGACAGGCCTAGTCATATAATTTATATAAAAGGGGGACAGTCAGAATAAGACCAAAGTACAGAGAAACAAAGGCCAGGAGACAGAGCCTGGGACATGGGAAGACTTTGTTCTAGCTACAGGCACAATAACTAAAACAAGTTAGAAAAATAGCACTGTGAATAAAAACAACTGCTATTAACATCAAAACTCACCTGAATTATCACTGGTTACACTGCAGTTAGAGACGGTAGGAGACTTATCCGTCATTTCTGTTTTCCTATCACCTTGCTTGTCAGTGCCTAGCACAGGAAGTAAGCAAAGAACTTCAGATGCATCCTAATCAGTCAGAGTCTAAAAAGGAGGAAGATGACCACTGAAACAATACGAACACAGATTGGGATGAACCATCCCAGATACACACCAGCCCAGCGGTTTCACTTGGAGAAGCTAGCACATATCACGAGTTTGGGCTCTACATAAGACTCAGACTCATAGTCAGATTCCATATATAAACTTGCTTATCACCTTTAGATTTAATTTCCCTATCTATAATTGTAGAAGATTAAATTCAAGTGGGAACTGCTTATTATATGACCACATACAGTCAATAAATACCACCTCTGTATGGACAAATCCATGCTCATACTAACTTAAGCTCTGTGGTGTTGTGACTGAGAACTGTTCCCATAAGCTCACATATTTGACACTTGAGCCCCACTGGCAGCACCATTTGGGGTGTGGAGCCTTGCTGAAGGAAGGAAGTCACTGGAGGCCTCAAGAGTCTATAGACTCAGTCCCCTTCCAGGTCACTGTCTCAGCTCCCTGGGTGTGAACAGAAAAGTGAGCAGCCAGCTTTCTGCTCCTGCACCTGCTGCCATGTTCCCCCTGCCATTATAAACTCTTAACGCTCTGGAACCCCGAGCCGAAATAACCTGTCTTCTATAAACTGCTCTCGGTCATGGCGTTATGTCACAGCAACAGAAAAGCTTTCCAACCATTACAACCTAAAATCAATGCATTACACAGTAGGTGTGACACCTGGATTTCAGCCTTAGCACCATAAAACAAACCAACCCAAGCATGTAGGGGACCTTTAAATGATATTGATATACATTAAGTTCTTATGCTGTAAAGAGCATTATTCAGTGAGTGCTACTTCCAAGAATTCCTGTTATACTGAGATGAGTTGAAGTCCTCTCATTTTAGATACAGTACATGACAATTCCTGATCTTCCTACTCAAAATGGTTCATTTTCAAAGAGGTGACTAACTTAAAGTAAAAGTCACACCCAGATCATCATATTCTACAAGGTTACAGAAAAAAAAATTCAAAGGTGAAAAATCACAGAGAAATTGAGAAGTCATACTCTGAAGTCTAGTAAGCTTCTATGAAGGTTAGTGCCTCTAATTTTAATAGATCACACAAATTATCATCATTAGGTCATGGTAAAAACATTTAGATTTAAAAGAAGGAATTGGACTGTTAGGATCATACAGATCATTTGATCAAGACTGGACTCTTACGGCATAGCACCATGCTGCCAAGAAGCCCACCTCAGTCTAAGTCCTAGGCTCCTTGATGTGTCGAACAAAGAAATATACTTGTAGGACACTGATATAATAAAAAAATTGAACCCACAGGGGCCCTCTGTCAAGTGTTCTTTTTATAGCTCAAATTGTGTTCTTTTCTCTGTGATGGCCTACCCTAAAAAGATCATTACAAAAACTATAAGATGCTTTTAAAGATAATCACAAAGAAAATAGACTTACATTTTTCTTGAGAGTTCTGCACTTGGTTGGTGACTGTTGGAAGTTCCTTCACAGATAAAGCTAGGGCAACTTCTAGGCCTCGCTGGAAGACCTTGTCATCTAAAGCCATCCTAAAACAGATGCAGGAATAACAATGGGGTTTTAATTTCAATTAGAGCACTAACACCATTAAATCTAAAAAGTTTCAGATTTTCCTATATTAGTACTTAAGAGAAGCTACTATCCAAAAATGTTCCCGATCTGTCCTTGACATGGAGTACAGGTGTGGCCGGAGTAGCCCGCTCCTCTGGTGACTACTGTTCCTGTCACTGTCTTTTCTCTTCATTATCAGTTCTGCCTACAAAGCTCCAGTTTAACCTAAGATAAACTCAGTTCAAGCATCACTCCCTTCCAGAGATCTCTTTATCTCATCCATTGATGTGGCTGATGTAATTCTTACAATAAATGTAATTCTACCTCTGTTCTCCAAATCTAGATTTTAACAAATATTTTGCTACATACAGTGTAAAGACTGGCTGGAATACTAAAAGTACCCTCAAGGAGTCTTCAAGGTGAATTAGGAAGGTGGAGGAATAAGTCATACCAATAATTAGCCCCAAAAAGGCAGACTGTAAAGCCTTCCTGCTCAAGTTGACCAACAGTTCTAATGAGTATAACAGGAAAACACAAAGACAGATGAAGAAAAGTTACAAAAGGGAAGAAAACTGAAATGGACCTTGAAGAACTTATTATTTTTTTAACTAAGTTACACTGGTGGGGATGAATATGGTCTTAATAAGTCTATGCTTGTGTGAAACTCTCAAGTTTTATTGAGGCATAATTCATGTATTATAAAATAGTTTTCTTCTTCCTCCTCTTCTCTTGAGATAGAGCACCATGTACCATAAGTTACCCTCAAAACTTAGCAAAAGTATAACCTTAAATTTCTAGTCTCCCTGCATTTATAAATAAAATTCAAGAATTCTTGCACATAAGGCAGGAACTAGTCCACAGAAGCTACATCCACAACATCCTTTTAAAGACAGTTCAGCAGTTATCTTCAGAGTTTTGAAAGCATTTTAGAACCTTTATACATACTCATCAGCAGCCATTCCTGATTATCCTCTACAGTTATTTTGGAAGAGGAAACCTCAATTAAGAAAATGCCCCCAACAGTTGGACTATGATTTTTCTTGATGTGGAGGTCTGTGATTTTTCTTGATGTGGAGGGCTTAGCTCACTGTGGTGTCGTATCTGGGCAGGTAGTCCTGGGTACTATAAGAAAGCAGGCTGAGTACGTCATGAAGAGCAAGCCAGTAAGCAGCATTTTTCCATGGCCTCTGCATCAGCTCCTAACACTAGATTCCTGCCTTAACTTCTCTCAGTGATGGACCAGCTGTACAACTCTAAGCTGAAACCCCTTCTGGTGTAGGAGGGTCTTCTTTCTACGTGTTGCTTTCATTGGTTGAATAAGAGACTGCCCTGGCCTTTCGATAGGGCAGAAAATTAGGTAGGTGGAGTAGACAGAACAGGATGCTGGGAAGGAGGCAGGCAGAGGGAGCTGCCTGCCATGAAGCTGCCAGGTCAGACATGCTGAATCATTCCTAGTAAGCCACGAGCTCGTGGTGACATACAGATTATTAGAAATGGGTTGAATCAAGATGTAAGAGTTAGCCAATAAGAGGCTAGAACTAATAAGCCAAGCAGTGTTTAAATGAATACAATTTGTGTGTTGTCATTTCAGGGTATAAGCTAGTCAGATGGCTGGGAGCTGGGTGGCGGGAAGTGGCCTGCTGCTCCTTTTACTACAGATTGACGTCCAACGTGAGGCCAATTAAATCCATCTAAAAACCTAAGAGCTGAATTTTAAACACAGAAAGGAGAGTTTAACACAGCTTTTTGCTGTTGGCTGGCAGGGTGCTGCAGAGAAATTTTCCCAATTCAGCAATAGCGGCAGAAAAAAAAGCCGTGCCATTTTAAAACAAGGCTTCCTGGGCCCTGCCACCAGTGCAAACTCTGGCTATGGAACATTTACGGGCCCACTCGCGGTTGAGAACGAAAAAAGATTTATGTGTGGCACGCTCATTCTCCGGGTTGGACTGCTGAGCACAGCTCCTACCTGGCAGCCTCAGAGCTAGCAGAAATGGTACACCCACCATTTTGAAATTGGAGAGAAGTGGAGCCAACATCCAGAACAGCCCGCCGCTTCTTGGCTCAGAGGCACAAGCGGCTCCGCCATGTTGGACTGGGCGGGGCAAGCCCACAGTACCTGTTTTTGACCTAGGAATGTCACTCTTAAGCGCTTAGTGAGTTAAAAGTGCAAAGCAAAAATGTTCCTGGACAGTAAAGAATTACAGACAATGCAATAGGACAGATTCAGACATAAAAGACCTCTAAATGGGTCACAGTGTTAGACATACGTAGGCTTGGGAGAGAGAAGAAAAAGAATATAGACAATAAAGTTAATGCCTTAAAAAAAGGGCAAAGTCTCTAAAGAGACAGAGTACAGATAGTTATAGATTAAAAGAAATAAAAATAAGCATGTAAAAATGGAAAATTCACAGAGAGTTTGGATTCTGTATATTATTGTATTTTCTTTCAATTTTTTGACTTTGAAGGAGCTAAATACAGAGAGACATTTCATTGTGTGGTCTGCTAAGCTAATCCAACATGTGTTTATAAAGCTATCTTGATTTCAAAATTTGGATCTAAGGATATGCTTTGGTGAACACCCTCAAAAAATTACTTCACTCAACTGCCGACTGAGATGAATCTAGCACACAGGTTATACCATAAAAGACCTGATTAACAGCGCCCCTATACAGCAGGATGAACTTTTTTTTTTTTTTTCCAGGATGAACTTTTGAGAGAAATACCTACATCCATATTCCCAAATGTTTATAAATGTTCTTTTACGTTTAAAGGGGGATATGATATAGATATGAATAATTTGCACTGGTATGGATTTTAAGGTCAATTTTGTTATATGTATATGTATTTCTGATCTTGAGTAAGGTATTGTGATTGTGTAGTTCATTTAAAAATGTAATGTATAATTAGGATAATCATCAATAGTAGTCAAGCTTGTAGTCATGTTAGATTTTCTAGATATATAGAGATATATTTCAGTTAAATAAGCATTCTTCATATCCTTCAAAGACTAACAGATATGGCATTTTAAATGTCTTAATAACTTAGGGCTTTTCATGACAATGAGACACGTCTGCTCCTGGCAGCACCAGCTACTTCAAGAGGAAGATGGGCATTGAAGAAGCTCCTTATGGAGCTGGTTAGCCATTTGGGCAAGAAAACTGTTCTTGTCTGGACTGTTGCATAAACTGGACACAAAGAACCTGCAGAGAGAGGAATGCTGAACTTGCCTAAAGGTGAGATGGTCCTTTGGGGTTCCTGTTTCATGAAAGAGTCTGCAAGGCATTTTGCTGGACACAAAAGAAAGTGACTGAACTATCTTTTAATCTTTGCTTCATGGAAATGTCTGTTGGATACTATGGGCCTGTAGGTTGAAGATGGATGTCCCAATGGTACAGAAGAACTTTGGGTACTGTACAGGTAGCGAGATGTCCCTGTCATTTCTAGAGTTTGGAAGTTGCTTATTTCTTGTTTGCTTAGTTAATATTATATCCTTCTGGAGTCTTTGATGGAGTTGAAGAATAGATAGATAGTTATAGTTTTCCTTAGTTATGATAAAAGATAAAATAGATATAAATATTGTAACTGTAATTCTTGCTTGATAACTGTTTTGTTATATGTAATTTTACTATGTTAAAGTTAAAGTCTTCCTTTTTGTTTAAACAGAAAAAGGGGAGCCCGCCGCTCCTTTTACTACACCTTTCCTCCCCACTTCACTTTGGACTGTTGTGTTTTATCATGGTAGGAGACACCCTACTTGGGACATTGTCACCCTTCTCTCAGGCCCAAACAACCAGTAATCCATCTTCTGTTTGCATGGATTAGTTTATTCTGGATACTTCATACAAATGGGATAATATACAATATGTGGCTTTGTGTCTGGTGTAGAAAGCATGACATTTTTCAGGCTCACTCACATTTCAGCATGTATCTGTAGGTCATTTTTTTGGCTGTGTCCATGACAGAGAACTAATCTAACAATCACTGGCTGACAGACATCCAGTTGTTTTTCTATTAATACCATGAACATGCTATAAACACTGACATGACGGACATATTTTCGGTTCCCTTGAGTATTACCTAAGCCATGCATAGAACAGGTCTATGCTGAACATAATGAAGACTGCTGATCTATGTTCTTGGGTAGCTGCACCATTTTACAGCCCCACCAGCAGCAATGGATTCAGATTCCAATTTTGCCACATCTTTATTAACTCTTATTAACATCACCTGGTGGGTGAGAAGAATTGTCACACCGTGGTTTCTACTTTTGTTTATCTGGCAGCCAATGATGGCATGCATCTTTTTACTTATTTGCGGATTACTTCTGTACCTTTGGAGAAATGCTTATTCAGATCTTATACATTGAAATTGGACTTTAGTCTTTTTACTATAGAGCTTAAGTGTTCTTTATATACTTTGGATCCAAGTTACTTAAGGTGTATCTGCAGATATCGTCTCTCACTTACAGGCTGAGTTTGTCTTATATTTAAAATCCCATTCATGACATTCAAAAGTAGAAACAAACAGTATGACATTTCTCAATCTAACTAACTTTCCACAGAGGACCCATGACAGTAAAACATTACCCATCCCCCTACTCATATCCTTTCTGTACTATAATTTGGTGGTCCCTTGGGACAGCCTCCTCCTTCTTGACATCAAATGATGAGATGTCAGGGTTGGTCTAGACATTATGGGGCATTCTCTGTGTTGGTTTAAAATGCTTGTCTTAAAATTGCCCTTACAATTACTCTTTCTTTTAGCAAAGTATCTTTGTCAGTTCTGAAGGGGCAGAAATAGGTGCAGGGTTAGTAACATCATTATTTAATGTTACAAAATGTTATTAATAAAACAAAAAACCCCAGGCTTTCTCTTTTATGTTGTGAATTTATTTTTCAAGCCAGAGAGTCAGAAAGCACTTAATGGCACCTCCCTGTGCCACAAACGGCAGCCCGCCCGTTCAAATTCCCATTTAAGCTGAGGTACTGGATGAACAAAGCTAACGGATCATGTGTTTTCTGGGTCTTACCTCTCACCTTTTTTTAGGGGCTTTCGCTGGTGGGATGTCTTCTTTCTGAGGAGTTTTCAAGTTAGGTTTTGGTTTGTCTTGCTTTAACTCCTTTGGCAAAGTTTTGGACTTTTTGTTTCTAGGCATGGTTGCCGCAATAAAATCATCTATTTTTGTATAAATTAAAAAGAAGGAAGATTATTTTCTTGGCAGCTAAAATTCATTTACCTACATTTTATGCACAACTATGTTTAATTTCTACACTTTAAAAATCAAAACAATTTGTCTCTACTTTTACCATCCACCTCAAGATGAACGATGGCCTGTCTTTAAAAATATCAACTTATCAAAATCCAATTCACTGAAAACTACAAAGATAAATTAAGAATGTTCATAAATATCAGCTCTAACAATTAACTAAAATGCCATAAAACCATTAGGAAAATTTTAAGAGTTATCTCACTAAGTGGGAGGAAATGGTTTTAAACTACACAATGTAGCCCAGTATGTTTACAAAGGTTCATCTCTAGAAAAGAGCCAAGCCCAAGAAAACAGGAAGCACTTAGAGAGGCGAAGTGGCTCCGCACCAGCAGCTAAGGTGTTGGACACTGCCGGCCCACCTATGATCTGCTGAGCTCTCCCAACCCACTGCTGGTTCTCACAGCCTTTTCAGTCCAGTAAGTCCTCAAAACTCTTGCAGTTCTTCTCGGTATACTCAAAAATACCCATGTATGGCACATGAATGTACCTGCAGGATCACATACTTCTTTAAAGAATTTGTTAACATGTATTTCTTTCATATTTCCACATATAGAAATATAACTTTCTGCACATCCCACTTCACCTAGTATCATGAACACAACTGGCAATCTCTAAGTACCTGGTCACATACCTTTGACAATAATAGAAAGTTAAAAGTTATCTTCTATATTATTTTTTCTCAAATTGCACACACATTTAATGCAAGAGCTATCTCTGAACAGAGAAATTACTAAAGTGTCTGACTTAAAGGAAACCATGCTGGCCTGAGGAAATATATGACTTACTTCTCGGATGAGATTATAGTTCAGTGGCAGAGTATCCCTCAGCATGTGGGAGGCCCTGGGACTGGTCCCCAGCGTGAGCACACATGCACATGTGCACGTGCACACCAACCACACACAGAGGAAAAAAGCATCCTACTAATACATTGTAATTTAAAGAAATGTTTTTGAAACTTTGATCCAAGTTCTAACAACAGAAACAAACATAATACGGCAAAGCTTAAGCCTAAGCTTTTAGGGTTTAGTTTTTCTATATCTAGCCTGTGAATAATTAACTCTGAGGAAATACATTTCTCAATCTGTCAAGCAAAGTTAAAAGCTGTACTTACCATCAGAATCACCACCAGAGTCCTCAAACTGTGAGTAATTGACTGGTTTTTTATTTCTATGATTAAGACAGAAAATTTTCATTAATAATTATACCTTCACCTTAAAGTTATTAATAGTCTTGTGGAAAGGAAAATGTGTTTGGAGTCTCTTAAAAGTACCTCAACCCAAAATATTATTTGTATTTAACACTAAGGACCTTGTTATTAGCTAAAATGCCCAAATCATACCAAATAGATATGATGGAAAAAAAAAAAAACTAATTTAGGAAACCTCCCAACATAAGGAGAATACAAATAATTTTCAATTAAAACTTTTATTTTATAAAAATAAAAACTTTTTTATTTTATTAAAATATAAAGCCATTATATTCAAATGGCTATTGGGCATTTATAAGTCCCTCTGTGCTCATTCTTTGCTTACATTATAAAGTATCGCTTCAGTATTAACCACATTAAAAAAAAAAATCTGTCAGAGATGAGTCATGGTGGTTAAGAGTATGTACTGCTCCTTCAAAGGGCCTGAATCTGGTTCCCAGCACCCATGCCAGGTAGCCCACAACCCCCTGAAACTCCAGCTCTAGGGGGTATAAGGCTTTGGCTTCTTCAGGCATTTGTACTCATGTACATACACCCCTCCCCCCCCCAATAAAATCAGTATTTAAGAGAAATCTCTCTACAATACCAAATGCTGTTTTAATGGGATGGAGACTTTAATAAAATAGTTTGTCCCTACCATCTTTGTAGGAACTAAGTAGGCAGAAGAAAAGAATATTCAATGTGAGAAGGTTAATTTCCCTCCTCTAGGAAAGAAATGCAGAGCTCTTTAGCTTTCTTTTCTGTTGTCTATGAAATGCCCCATGTCAACGAGCTCATTTATCAGCTGCCCGCTCTTTCAAGCAAAAATAGTTATGTGAGAGGCTTGTCTAGCTCAGACCTCACATCTGCAAGTGTTTCCTTTGGAGAGGCACTGGGTGTGCCTTCCGTAGCCTCACACACGTGAAAGGGAGGGTGTGCACGTCACTCTCCCACCCTTCAGAGCTTAAGAATTTGACAGCTACATAAAATATGACATCTTTAAAAACGCTGGGATTGAAAATGAGTAAATAAAACTGAAAGCCTCCTAAAAAGGTAAGTACACTGAGGTTGAGTTATAACACAAGCGTTCATTCATTGTAATTGATTCATGGAACAATTCATGGAACTACCTATTGTGTTTTGGAACTCAGGAGGGTGAGAGATATTCAGAAAACATTACTTTTTAAAATGATTTTTAATCATGTGTACATGTGTGTGCCTGTGTGCATGTATTGTATGTGAAGGCCAGAAGAGGCACTGGATCCCCAGGAGCTGTCTGAAGTGGGAGCAGCGAACTGAGCACTCTTTCAACCAAGGAGCCATCGCTCCTGCCCATAAATGCTCTCTTTAAAAAAATCTGCGCATGCGGCAATAGAAGCTGCAATAACTACTGCCATCGCAGTGTGCTGCTAGGGTCTCAATTTGTGTTGCGGGGCCAACAGTCCTATCACCATTGCAGTGCCAAGGACAGAGGCGAGTGTAACAAAAGATGGGCTAGGGACTCTCGCTGGTGAAGTTCACCACTGTGCCATCCAGATGACTTAACCTCAACTCCTGCAATCCGTGACAAGGCGGGAAGAAGAAATGACTCCACAGCCATCCACTGACCTTCACAGTCAAGACATGGAATGTGTACCACCATTCCCACCCCTGTCACGTACAACACACACACACACACACACACACACACACACACACACCCCACAGCCATGATCTCACAGGCCTGAGGATTCGGGGGACCCTAGAGGCCTGCAGACCACACTCTGACTGCTACTATCCCAAATAACAGCATTATGTCTTCGCTATCGGTATGCCTATCCCCTTTCAACTCCACCACGTAAGACACGGAAATCTGGTCCCACCTTCTAAACCTCATCACCTTAGACTTCCCCATCTCAGTTAACACAGAGATCATCATCCACTATGCAGCTCAGGCCATAGTCCACCTGGATTCTTTCCCTGGTTCCTCATCTCCATTCCCACTTGTCAGAAGTACCCAGACTCACCTGGTCCAGCTTCACACCCAAACACCACGCCAAATCACAATCTGGTGATCCATCGGCCTTCCTACCACACCTTCAATGTGTCTCTCAAATGTGGTCATTCGAGAGGCCTTCGCTTCTATTTCCTCTCACGTTTCCCTAGGGGACCCTCTCACTCTGTTTAAAGTAAGGCTTTCCCCCTTCCCACTATGCTACAGTGAGGTGGTTTTTCTGCCTCCGCCCCATCTTCCACTAAAATGTAGCCTCCAGTTCTTAGGACAGGGCAGGACTAGGTGAATCCGGTAAGTTTATTTTTTCTTGGTTGTGCAGTACTGGGGATTGAACCTAGGGCCTCTCATCTACTAGGCAATCGCTCCTAGTAGGACGGCCAGGCACCCCAGCTGCGGTCACGGAGAGTAGATGCCAACGTGACGGTCACTATTACCTAGGAGCTGGAAGGTTTAGTTAAACAGGCCTTTCTGCCTGGGGGGTTGGGGGCCAGGTCTCTCTGGACTAGGGCGGGCCAGCGGGGGGCTCGCCCCAGACACTGGCATCCAGTCGACCCGCTGCCCTTCAGCTGACAGGGCCGTCTCCTTCAGCCCTGGGTGACACTGGCCGCCAGCGTCCCCTCGCTTCCTTCCCGCCCCGCGGGACGTCACCAACTACTCACCTGCTAGGGCGCACCATGGTGCCCTTCCTCACCCTAGAGCTGTAGCGTTCGGGCGCAGGAGAGCAGCGCTGGCGGTTTCAATTCCCGCCCAAAACCAGACATCGCGCCCCACGCCCCGCGGCTCCAGTCCGCCAATCAGCGCTCGCCTGCCCGAGGCGGCGCCTGCGTGTTGAGAAGAGCGCGCTTGCGTTTACACACCTTTTCCTGTGCCCGCCTTTCCGGATCCCGTCGGCCCGGACCCAGGGTTGGTTTCGCCACTGCACTTTCGTCACTGTGAAGATTTTTGGTACCGACTCTAAAGTAGAGTATAAAAGTAGTAACACTCTTCTAACTTTTATAACGACTAGATAAGAATGAAATAAAGGTGTTCTTGTATCGGATTTTTCTTTGGGGCTTGAGCAAAGGGGAGCAGAGGGTAGCGAATCTGCCGAAGAGAATCCGCTGACTGTAAAAACACGCAAGAAGTCAGCTGATTTATTGGGCAGCTCGGCGTTGACAGCTCCAAGTGCGCTTTGGGTTCTGAGGAAAGGGGTGAGCCCATGCCAACCGCGAGAAAGCCCCTTCTCCGTGGAGGTCCCAGTGAAATTGCAGGCTTAAGGACCCCGAGGAGGTTTGCTGGCGACTGTCTAAAGTGCGGGGGTGCAGCTTGGCGTTGACAGTTCAGTCTGTGCGGAAAACTAAGTTTGTAGGTTGCATACTGGTGTGGCAGGGTGTAGGCACACCCAGAGAAGGATCCGGAGATGGAAACTGGGTTAAGATTAATTTATCCTGAGAGCAATGGACTCTCACAAGCAAATGAATGACATGAAGATATATATTTTTATTGATTGTGTTCTGTTCTTTCCCTCACCCCCTTCCATCCATCCCTACTAACTTCCCCATCCCTTTTAACCCCCATATCCATACCGATGCACTTTCCAGATTCATGGAACTTTTGGTTTTGTTTTGTGACCCCTTTAACTTAACCAGACCAGCTGTGTGAGCATTGGGATGCAACTACTCGTTGGAGCCGGGTGGGGGCACCAGTGGACACACAACTGAAAATGATGACTCCCCGTTCCCGAATCTGTCCTTAGGAAGGCGCGGGGCCCCTCTGAGTCCTCCCTTAGCTAGTGAGGGGTCTGTTCTATGCAGACCCAGGGCAGGCATCCGAAGCCACAGTGAGTTTATCACTGCAATGGCAGGGTCTTACCCAGACATTGACTCTTTGTCGCCCTTCCCTCTATCTTTTGACTCTAATATTTCCCACTCCCTCCGCTAGAGTTTTCCTTGAGCCTTCGGAACTGGTGCTGTAAGTGTCTTGTTTGGGGCTGAGCGTTCATCCATCACTTCTCAACACCGTGAGTCTCTGCATTCACTGGAAAGAGACCCTTTAAGGCTGAGAGTAGCATTGTCTATGGGTAGCGATATCTAGACGGTGGTTTGCCACGGTCAGTTTTACTGAAAAATGGTATTTAGGTTCCTTCTAGGGCCTATGATCTGTGGGCTTTTTACCGGAATTATAGAACCAGGCTTGGATTTGCTCCTATGGAGCCGACCTCAAATCTAGTCAGAGCAAATTGGGTACTCTCACGACAGGCGGGCACATCTCGCCTGGCAGGTTAATATAGTCCACAGCTGGATAAGACCATTAATAACATTTCTCCACAGCGGCCTGCATCGGATCTTCCAGGACTCACACACACATATATGCTTTTTTACAAAGTAAGGTTACATGATTTAGATAGAGAACAGTGTTAGAACTGATTTCTTAACAGTGGGAAGCCCAGCTGGAAGGCTGGTGAGTAGATCTCTAAGGGATGTTTATTCTTACTCTCTTTACTACGTTTTCTCTGACTATGTCTGGCCTGCCTTGTGGCCGGCACAGTGTCTGATCTGTTCACCTGTACATGTGCCTCCTATCTGGAGAATTTCCCTGTGTTCTCTTCCCTTTTTCCCATCGCGCCTCACAGCCGCCATACCTAACATCTTCAGGATTCTACTGGGTCACTGTTGTGTTTGACTTCTTTGCCAGTTCCATAAGCTCCACACCCGCACCCCCACCCCGTATCTCTTCCTAAGGATCCTCTTGCTTCCATCTCCGTGCCTTCCCTTGGATTAAGTATTTTTTATTCCTGCCTAGGAATAATAGTACTTGCTGAGCATATCAGTGCCCTGAAAATAACCTTAAAATAACTTTTCATTTTATAAGAGGAAGAGGAAGCATTTTATTTTTGTCATGGAGAATCAGCGTGCAGGGATAACAAGACTAACTAGAATTGTTAGAATTGTGGTGACACACCTATAATCTCAGCACTTGGGGGTTGGGGGCTACTGAGGCAGGAAGATTAAATGTTTGAAGTTAGCCTGGGCTATATAGTGAATCCTAAAGCAGCAGTTATTCTGGGCTGCACAGTGAGAGCGTGTCTAAAATGAAATGGAAGTTAAGTAGAAATTGGAATAGTTGGTTCATAATCACATGGGCACAGTGTCTGCATGCTGCTGGGCTGTGTCTTAGAGGTGTGGCAGCAATAGTGAAACGTTTCCTATGGACGTTTGGCTCATGGCTGTTTTTGTTCGTTCTGTAGAAATCCTGCTGAAGAATATGAAGAAAAACCGAGAAAGATTCTACAACAAGGAAAGAGAATTTGTGTACAAATTCAAGGTGGGAAATGAGCGCTTCGAACTGAGGGTGCCCCTCAAGTTTCCTGTGGACGAGAATGCCAGCCATTTGCATGGACGTCTGATGCTGCTGCACAATCTGCCCTGCTTCATAGAGAGCGGTGAGGCCTGGTCTTCTGTGTTCCTGAGTCGCTGTCATTGGCAGTTTCTCGATAGAACACAGGTTCTTGAACTTGGGATGGGTTCAAAGAGATCCACCTGCCTCTGCCTCCAGAGTGCTGGGATTAAAGGCTTACACCACCACTACCTAGCTAGAATGTTTTAGTTTTGAAACAATTTTTATTACATTTATTTATTGTGGATGCAGAGCATTGTGTACCCCAAAGCCTATGAAGATAGACCGTTTGCAGAGTTGATTCTTTCGTTCCACCATGTGGGTTCTGGGATCTAAAGCATCTTTACCTGCTGTGACATCTTTTTGGCTCCTGAATATTTAATTTTAAAAATTGCTGCTTTAGTTGCTGACTTTAGTTTTATAAAAATTTGTTTAATAAATTTTGATATGGGGCTGGAGAGATGGCTCAGAGGTTAAGAGCATTGCCTGCTCTTCAAAAGGTCCTGAGTTCAATTCCCAGCGACCACATGGTGGCTCACAACCATCTGTAATGGGGTCTGGTGCCCTCTTCTGGCCTGCAGGCATACACAGACAGAATATTGTATACATAATAAATAAATAAATATATTTAAAAAAAATTTTGATATGAAATTAAGACTGAATTGCAAACAGTTTCTGAAATGCCCTTAAACATGTGTTTGCCATTTTATACTACATGTTCATGAAAAACAGTCTTCTTGTCATTGACAATTATAAAATCAAGATGAAAAATATTAAATATATTTAATATTAACTTTAATATTAAATATTAATAATATTTAACTCTTCAGCCAAGATTTAATTGTTTGTGTAAAAATGAATAAGGCTGTCCATTTCATTAGTACACACCTTTGTTTTAGTCTTTGTGTATGTATGTGGGTGTGTGTATGTGTGGGGGAATGTGTGTATGTGTATGGTGTGTGTGTATGAGGTGTGTGTATGTGTATGGGTTATGTCTATGTGTGGGGTGTGTGTACATGTATGGGGTGTGTGTATGTGTATGGTGTGTGTTTATGTGTATGATGTGTGTGTGTGTATATGGGGTGTGTGTGTATGTGTGTGCGGTGTGTCTGTATTTGGGTGGGGTGTGTGTATGTGTATGGGGTGTGTGTATGTATGGGGTCTGTGTATGTATGGGTGTGGGGGGTTGTATGTGTGGGAGAGTGTGTATGTCTGGGGGACATGGGGGGTTATTGGGTGTAGGGTATGGGTGTGTAGGGGTATGTGACGTGGATGTGGTAATATGTGTGGGTGTATGTGTGTAGCTGTGGGTGTATGTTGAGGTGGACAGTTAGTGTCAGGTCTTCCTCTATTGTTGTCTACCTTTATATTTTTTTGATGAAGGGTCTTCCACTGGCCTAAGACTCACCAATTAGCAAGATCTGCTGGTTAGTGAGCCCCAAGGATCCAACCCTCCAGTCTCTCCTCCCCAGCCCAGGAATTATAGGCTCACACTGCTATGCCTAGAATTTTCCATATGCCCTTGAGATTGAAATCATACTTACATGGCAAGCACTTTATTCACTGAGCCATTTCCCCAGCCTTTAATTTAATCTGTAATGAAAAGTGGGTTTATATACTCCAAGATAACAAATTTCTTTATGGTTTTAAACAGTAAATGTTTGATTTGTATACCTATTGTCTTAGTTAGACCTATACTGCTGTGGTAAAGATCATGACCAAGAGTAACTTGGGAACAAAAGTGCTGCAGTGGCCGTCGTCCATCATCAGGGAAGTCGGGGCAGGAATTCAAGGCAAAAGCCTGGAGTGAGGAAGTAAAGCTGGGGTCATGGAGGAACACTGCTTGCTGGCTTGTTCTCCATGGCTTGCACAGCCTGCTTACAGTACCCAGGACCACCAGCCCAGGGGTGATACTGTGCATAGTGGGCCAGGCCCTCCCACATCAGTCATTAATCAAGAAATGCTTCACAAGCCTATCTACATCCAATCTTATGGAGACATTTTCTCATTTGAGGTTCTCTCTTGGATGACTGATATATCAAGTTAGCAAATCCAACCAGGAATCTAAATATGTGAGTCATGTAAAACTTGCTGTGGTGAGTAATGAGTTATGAGTGAAAAAGTTTAAAAAGCCCTGTGTAGAACACACAACGGAAAATACGAGTTAAGCTTCAAGAAGAAAACTGTTTGCAAGAACTTTTGGAACTTTTGTTTGTACTGTAGTTGTTTATGAAGTAATTTAGTATCTGAATTAGTTGGCATAATAATAATTAGCTACAGTGCTTAACCTCTTAGTTTGGTTGTGGAGATTTGCCAGATGTCTCAGCATCACTTGCATGGTGGAGCTTTGGTTCTAAATTCGTCTCTCTTTTCCTTTGCTCATGATTTTGAGGCACTAAGAAACAGAAGG